TGCCGAGCCTCAAGGAATTGTGGGAGTTGAAGTCCACCACAGCTGGAGGGCCAAAGGTTCCCGACCCCTGATATAGTGTATCAAGTGTCATCGACATTATAGGGGTAATGTACTTTGACTCTGATGGAACGGCAATGGCTCAATGCTATAGGCTTCTGGCAGTTGTAGTTACAACAACAACAACACTACTTTATTTATTTTAGGCTCTATCTTCGTGAGGGGACTCAGAGCGGATACCAACATACACAGATAGGCAAACATTCAATGCCTTTGATACAGTAGAATAGCAATGACATACTAATACACAGAACAAAGGTAAAGGCTTCCCCTTTCATCTGTGGCTGCTGGAGGCAGTACTCAACTGGCTGTGGGGAGGTGCTTTTTTTCCATTTTGAAGCCAATGAGTGTGTTGTCCATAGACACCTCCTGGTTGTTTTTGCCAGCATGGTTGCATGGGCACCTTTATTACCTTCCTGTCAAAGTGGCAGCTATTTATCTCCTCACATTTGCATGTTTTCAAACTGCTAGGTTGGCAAAAGCTAAGGGTGACAGCAGGAGCTCACCCTGACCTGTGGCTTTGAACTGCCAAACTTCAGGCCAGCAGTTCAGCAGCGAAAGGGTTTAACCCAGTGTTTCTCAACCTTCCTAGTGCCATGACCCTTTAAGACGGTTTCTCATGTTGTGGTGACCCCCAACCATGAAATTATTTGTGTTGTTACTTCATAGCGGTAATTTTGCTACTGTTATGAATCGTCATGTAAATATTGTCAGGATTAATTTAGTTATGCATGTGTTTTAAATGTGCTTCTATGTATTTCAAAGATGGATTCCACTGTGTATTAGAAATGCTGTGCAGAATGTTCATACCATGAGGCTGTGATTATGTGATCTTGAGAGAAGTAAGATAATGTTTGCTCTTGCTGGGAACAGAAGGGAGTAACCGGTCTCAGCAAGAAGAGATTAGCAGATGTGAAGAGACTTTCATTTTGACTAGTTCCTGAATTGTAGCTCGCTGTAGTAAGACGTGCCTATTGAATGTGCTTAGTAAACTTAGTTTCTTTTGTAACTCAAAGCCTGCAGAGTCTTTACTTTGCAACACAGTGTCTGCTGATCTAGCAATCCTTCTGCTGTGCGCTGCCAAACTCTGACAAATATGTGATATGCTGGATTGTTACTTCTCTTTCTCCCTTGGATTCGGGCATGGAGGGATCACGCTACCCCTCTCTAAGCCCTGCCCTCCTTCTCCCAGGCCCCCTCCCTCAACTTCTCCCTTCTCACCACATCTTCTCCTCCTTCTTCCCTCTTGGCTCCAAGGCAAACCTCACCATCATCACTCCCATCTCTTCCTCCTAAAATGTCAAAGGGAAAGGCGCTGAGTGATGTTACCACCTCTATCTGAGGAAAAGGAAGTGGCCTCTGGGAAGTGAAGGGGGTGGGAAAACGTTAGTGGAGTGTCAGTTCCTAAGACCATCAGAAATATGTGGTGTTAGGCAACCCCTGTGAAAAGGTTGTTCGACCCCCAAAGGGGCCGCGACCCACATGTTAAGAACTGCCAACCTCAAGTTTTACAACAGTGGTTCTCAACCTTCCTAATGCCGTGAGCCCTTAATACAGTCCCTCATGTTGTGGTGACCCCCAAACATAACATTGTATTTGTTGCTACTTCATAACAGTCATTTTACTACTGTTACAAATCATAATGTAAATATCAGATATGCAAGATGTATTTTCATTCACTGGACCAAACTGGGCACAAATACCCAATGCAACTACATGTAAATGCTAGTGGGGTTGGGGGAGGATTGATTTTGTAATTTGGGAGTTGTAGTTGCTGGGATTTATAATTCACCTATAATCAAAGAGCATTCTGAACTCCACCAGCGATGGATTTGAACCTAAATTTGCCACACAGAACTCCCTTGACTAACGGAAAACACTGGAAGGGTTTGGTGGGTATTGACTTTGAGTTTGGGAGTTATAGTTCACCTCTATCCAGAGAGCACTGTGGACACACGCAATGGTGGATCTCGACCAAACTTGGCACAAATACTCAATATGCGCAAATGTGAACACTGGTGGAGCCTGGGGAAAATAGACCTTGACTTTTGGGAGTTGTGGTTGCTGGGATTTATAGTTCATTACAATCAAAGAACATTCTGAACTCCACCAACGATAGAATTGGCTCAAACTTCCCACATGGAATCCCCTTGACCATCAGAAAATACTGTGTTTTTTGATGTTCTTTGGCGACCCCTCTGACACCCCTTCATGACTCCCTCAGGGGTCCTAACCCCCAGGTTGAGAAAAACTATTTTACAAGGTCTTTACCCTTTTCTGCCAAATAGTGCTGGTTCCTTACCAAAGTACAGCACTCATCCATAGGATCGAACCATGGCAGTTAAGGCAGTTTCAAACTGCATGAATTCTACAGTGCAGATGCACCCTGGGTCTCCAACTTCTTAAGAGAGAACCTGCTATTTGAATAGCTGTTAAGACCAAGACCTATTTCATGATAATAAATAAACATCAGAAGGGAAAGCAGAGGCTTGGAAGTTGCTCATCAACATGTAGTTCCGACAGCAGATGGAGTTAGGGATGTAAATGTCTGCTCATTTCATTCTTGGATGCAAGAATGAATAATTTCAACAGTTGTCTCCTCACTTGATGAGACATGGAAGTTTTTGTACATCTTTAGATTCCTTCCAAATATATACAGATATAAAGATAAAAAGTAAAATAAACTTGCTCAAAAACTTTGATATTTAAACTGTTTCTCTGCAAAAATAGTATGGTTTTCATAGAATCATAGAATCAAAGAGTTGGAAGAGACCTCATGGGCCATCCAGTCCAACCCCATTCTGCCAAGAAGCAGGAATATTGCATTCAAATCACCCCTGACAGATGGCCATCCAGCCTCTGTTTAAAAGCTTCCAAAGAATGAGCCTCCACCACACTCCGGGGCAGAGAGTTCCACTGCTGAACGGCTCTCACAGTCAGGAAGTTCTTCCTATGTTCAGATGGAATCTCCTCTCTTGTAATTTGAAGCCATTGTTCCGCGTCCTAGTCTCCAAGGAGGTAACAACGGAAAAATTTGTTTCTAAAATCGATTCGTTTTTGGGGGTTTTTTGCGTTTCGATATTTAAAAGAATTCCGAAATTTTCCTTAAAAAAGTTCGATATTTACGAAATTTCGTAAATGGTAAAAAAATTACAAAACAATAACGAAACAATAACGAATCGATTCGTTAATGGCGGCCGCGATCGCGCAATACGCTAAAAAAACTTCTGAAGCTTCCCTCTTCCTCTGTTGTTGACTGTTGGTGTGATATTATAATTTTTTTTCACTAATTAAACAAACAGCAACCCTAAAACTTGCCCCAGACATGCGGAAATAATAATGAAACGACCTCAAACCAATAACGAAACGAATACATAACGAAATACGAAGCATTTACGAAACGAATTGAAAAATTCGTTTCGTTTTTAAGTTGCTCCAGAATGGTTCGTTATCGCTTCGTTTAAAAAAAATAACGAATTTTTAACGAATTACGAATTAACGAAACGAAACCACCCAGCCCTAATTGTTTCGTGTCCTAGTCTCCAGAGAAGCAAAAAACAAGCTTGCTCCCTCCTCCTCCCTGTGGCTTCCTCTCACATATTTATACATGGCTATCATATCTTCTCTCAGCCTTCTCTTCTTCAGGCTAAACATGCCCAGCTCCTTAAGCCGCTCCTCATAGGGCTTGTTATCCAGTCGGTAGTTGTTTGGGTCATCCTTTTTTCCCTTCTTGAAGACTGGAACCACATTGGCCCTCCTCCAATCTGCTGGAACTTCTCCTGTTCTCCAAGAACTCTCAAAGATGGTTACCAATGGTTCCGAAATGACTTCTGCTAGTTCCTTCAGTACTCTTGGGTGTAGTTGATCTGGCCCTGGGGACTTGAACTCATTTAGAGCGGCCAGGTATTCCTGGACGACTTGTTTCCCAATTTGAGGTTGGATGTCCTCTAATCCCTCATCCACTCCATCTTGCTGAGGTTGAAGATCACTTTCTTTTTGTGAGAAGACCGAGGCAAAGAAGGTATTAAGTAGTTCTGCCTTTTCCCTATCATCCCCTATCTGCATTGCCCCATCTTCTCCTTGAAGAGGCCCTATCACCTCCTTGTTTTTCCTTTTTCTACTGACATAAGAAAAGGATCCCTTTTTATTGTTTTTAATGTCCATGGCAAGCCTGAGCTAATTTTGTGCTTTAGCCTTGTGGACCTTTTCCCTACAGGTGTTGGCTATTTGTTTGAATTCTTCTTTGGTGATTTCTCCCTTTTTCCACTTCTTGTGCATGTCTCTTTTGTGTCTTAGCACAGATAGAAGTTCTTTGGACGTCCATTCTGGTCTTTGATGTGATACCCTGACAACCTTCCCTGTTGATTACACAAAACATTTTAATTGTTTTCTGTAACCTTAGATGTAGGCCTCTTGATCACAGTCTTCACCACTCTGGAGTTATGCTTTGCATTTCTTCTAAAGCTGAGGCTATATATATAAAACAAATGCACATCTTATGCAAATGTTTTGCCCCACTTCTTTGTTGGTGGATTTCCTTCTCCTTTGTGTGTGTTCCTCTAGTGCATAGAGATGTATTACGAGCCTTGGGGGCCCTGGCATTGTAATTACAGGCATTTCAATGGGGCGTGTGCAAAATAAATGATTATCAGTTTAACTTCCGGCAGAGTTCCAGCCTCGTAGTTTACTGCGAGGGGCTCCAATTATGTCGCTCACAAATGGTCCTGCATGCTTTGCTGCTCAAGCTTCCCAATTCTCTGCTAACTCAAAGCATTTTCCATCCTTCACTGCCCCAACTGAATAGACTACAGGCACAGGAATTTACATATATTACAGTTATCCATGATTAAGCTACAAATTATAGTTCAGTGATCCAGAGACAATGACTAGAGCTGGGTGAATAATTAATTAACAACAGGTAATTTATTCGGGGGATTTCTGCCTTCCTACTTTCTTTGCAAATTGGACATCAACAGGCAGGGCGAGGACTTCTTTGATGCATCCAAATTGTTTTGGTAAATAATAATTCTTTCAAAATATTGTCGAAGGCTTTCATGGCTGGAATCACTGGGTTGTTGTAGGTTTTTTTGGGCTATATGGCCATGGTCTAGAGGCATTCTCTCCTGACGTTTTGCCTGCATCTATGGCAAGCATCCTCAGAAGTAGTGAGGTCTGTTGGAACTAGGAAAAAGGGTTTATATATCTGTGGAATGACCAAGGTGGGGCAAAGGACTCTTGTCTGCTGGAGCTAGGTGGGAATGTTTCAACTGAAATAGAAATAGCAATAGAGAATGAGCACCACACCCCAGAGTTGGACACGACTGGACTTCATGTCAGGGGAAAACCATAAACTTTTATAAAGGAAATGCAGAAAATTAATTATTCTGTAAAGAATAGATAGAGTAACAAGCTGGGTAGATGCTGGGAATGCCGTGGATGGAGCGTACATGGATTTCAGGAAGGCCTTCTTTGACAAGGTCCCCCATGACCTTCTGGCAAGGAAACTAGTCCAATGTGGGTGAGGCAAAACTACGGTGAGGTGGATCTGTAATTGGTTAAGTGGACGAACCCAGAGGATGATTCTCCCCAAGGCTTCCTCTTCCTCCTGGAAAGAAGTGACAAGTGGAGTGCCATCCACAGGGTTCCGTCCTGGGCCCGGTCCTGATCAGGATCTTCATTCATGATTTAGATGAAGGGTTAGAAGGCAAGATCATCACGTTTGCAGACGACACCAAATTGGGAAGGAGAGCCAAGACTCCAGAAGACAGTGGCAGGATTCAAAACGATCTTGACAGATTAGAGAGATGATGGGCCAAGAATACCATTATGAAGTTCAACAGGGACAAATGTAAGATACTCCACTTTGGCAGGAAAAACGAAATGCAAAGATACAGAATGGGGGACAATGCCTGGCTCGAGAGCACTACGTGTGAAAAAGATCTTGGAGTCCTCGTGGACAAAAAGTTAAACATGAGCCAGGAATGTGATGTGGCGGCAAAAAAAGCCAACGGGATTTTGGCCTGCATCAAGAGGAGCATAGTGTCTAGATCGAGGGAAGTCATGCTCCCCATGCTCTATTGTGCTTTCGCCAGACCACACCTATAATATTGTGTCCAATTCTGGGCACCACAATT